TCTCCTGGCTCGTGCTGCTCTGAGTTTGTGGTGCCCGGTATTACTATTGCTTCCCTGCACCAGCTGGCAGCAGGGGATGAAACAGATCGGCAGCACCACGGTGCAGACCCATCACTAGCCGGCTTGGTGGCGGTGGCATCTGACCAAAGGGCTGGTGATTATGTCTCCTGACTGTCCAGGTCAAGCCCTGGCACCAAAACACCAGTGGCTTGATGTCGCTGACAGAGATATCTTGGTTTCATCTTGCCCTCCTGCAGCTAACCTGTGCTAGCCTGCAGGGCAAGGTTGTCCCCTCTGCTCCATGCTGCCTGCCCAGGGCCAGCCAGTCCCTGTCCCCAGTGCATGCTGGGGGTCTCAGGTGGCTTCATGAGCTCCTCTCTGCCCACTGGCAACATTTTTGAGCTGGGTTCTGCTCTGCAGCCTTGGGGAGCCGGTTCATCCTCCTGCTGCCAAAAAAGCACTTTTGCAGTTGGTTGGTTCCTCTCCCCCGTGGTCATTACCTCACAGCAGGTAGTGAAGTCACACAATGACATCACAGACCTTGGCGATTCCTGTTCTCCCCATAGCAAAGACACAGAGATGCCTGGTCCTCCCCTCTGCTCCCTCCGGAACACACTGGTGATTTAAATTGAGGGATTTTGGTGACTGCCTCTTCCTCCACGAGCATCACTGAGGCTGGAGAAGTTGGTGTGCTGCCTGTCAGTGTCACTTGCCTGTGTAACCCGCGCTCCAGGATGATAATTTAGATCCTTCTGCTTGCTGCAGCCCGAAGTGTCCTGAAAAATGTCACAGCTGCTTGGCATCTCTGGGACAACAATGAGGGTCTTCCCAGAATCTCAAGGCTTGGAAGATGATGATGAAGATGATGACAACACTGCACATCCTCAACCCCAGTGCAAGAGCCATGACAGCTTGAGTGACAGTGAAGTGGACAATCTGGGGGAATCCATGCTATTTTCCCTAAATCCCAGGCACTCTTACACAGTGAAAGATGAAGAAATGAACAATAGAATATATACCGATAAATTGGCCAAGCACGCTCTGGAGCTTGAGGAGGAAGCTCAAGAGTTTAAAGAACCATTTTACAACAACATGGAAATGCCTGACAGCTTGTCTGAAGATGAGGACCACAGCTGGATCAGGACCTATCACCTTCCTGTGTTCCAAAGGGTGTGCATGTCCCAGGCTGCTGGTGTGGCACCGCGTGGCTCCTGTGACTCTTTCCGGTGTAGCACAGGCAAGCACATGGGGATGGATGCCTTTGCCTCGTGGGCTGACGCCAGAGACCCTTACCTGGGGTACCCAGAGCACAGCCTAGGAGCAGAGCCCCACATGCTGCATGAGGATGCCATCAGGGACAGGGAGCTCCCATCCCTGCAGCTGAGCCATGACGTGCTCAGGGAGGAGAACACCATGCTCAGGAAGCTGATCAGGAGCATGCAGAGCTCCTTGGAGAGCCAGGCATGCACAGTGCGGAGGCTGGAGAGGCAGGTGAAGGCCATCCTGGCCAAAGGGGAGAGGGAAACCCAAGAGCTACTGTCCTTTGTCCGGAAGACAGAGTGGAGTCTCCAGGTAATGACCCAGCGGGCTCTGGATGCAGAAAAAAATGTAGAGAAAATGAAGCAGGAGATGTTTCTTCTGCAGGAAGAGCTGGAGAACTCCAAGATGGAGAACGAAAGCCTGAGAGCAGGCCAAACAACCGACCTGGGGGCAGTGAAGAACAACATAGACATTGCCTTGCAGAACCTCAACAAGATAATAACAGGTGCAAACTGTTATATCAGACAACTCACCCATGGAGCAGAGTCACTGCATTTTGTTGCTGAGGTCCTTCAGTCTACTGGCAAAATTTCTGAAGTTGAAGCAAAAAAAGAGGTATGAACTCAAGTCTGTGTGGGTCCTACAGATGAGCAGATGGACTGAGACCACAAGTCTCCCACTACAGCCTATGATAAAACGATTTGCTCGCACGTGCTTGAATGTGTGTGTTCAGATTCATAGCCTTTATCCTTCATAGCAATACTTATCCTGTCATTAAGTACAAATTGCAGGTAGTGATATAGTTTTAGCTGCTGATGCTTTGTTCTAGCACTGTGGAGCCAGCAGCAAATATTTCCCCATGTCTGAGCTGCAAGCTCCAGGTGTGGTGGGATCTGAGCAAGAGGCTGTGCCACAGCTCTGGCTGACTTGAGCTCCTGTGTGGGAGCCAGGAGCAAGCACAGCAGCATGGGATGCAGCACTCTTAAAATGTGTGCCCATCCCTTCCCTTGGCTGTACCATTCAGAACCAGAGATGAGTACAGCCCTTGTGGCACCTGCATTTCATCTGGTTCCTTTGCCCCTTCTTGGTGAGGTGGGGAAGGTTAGGAACAGTGATCTGGGTGCTGCTGCACATAATTTCAGTGGGCAGAAGCTCCTTAGGTCCTCCTTCCTCTTGTTTTGGAGGTGGCCACCACCTGGGCCAGAAACACAAAGTCTCTAGAAATTGTGCACCCGTTCCTGCAGCTGGGGAAAGGGGGAGTGGTGGTGGTTGGAAACCTTTAGGAAGTTGTGAAGTATCCATACATGAGCTGGGGCAGTGCCTATCCTCCGGCACCAGCATCAGTGCTGGCTAAGGGTGAGCCTGGCTTATTGGGCTGGCTAAGGAAGGTGCTGGTTGGAGAGGATGCCCTTCCGCTCTGGCTGGAGCTGTGTCGTTGTTTAGAAAGGCCACCGGACAGTCCGTTTAGTTAAACACCTGGTGGGCTGAGGCAGGGACAGGCAGGGTTTCACTCACCACTTAGGTTTATGGGCAATAAACCGACAGGACTCGGGAAAAACAAAAAGAACAATTGAATTTATTAACTATTTACAACAAGAAGCAAGATAATAAGAGAGAGAACTACATCTTAGAAAAGCACTTGTCCCCCACCCCTCCCTTCTTCCCAAATCCCAAAGGCTTTGTTCTGTACCTTCTCCCCCCAGCGGCACAGGGGGGCAGAGAATGGGGGGTGCAGTCAGTCCGCCGCTCCTTCCTCCTCAGGGGAGGGCTCCTCACAGTCTTTCCTGGCTCCAGCATGGGGTCCCTTCTCACAGGAGAGTCCTTCTCAAACTGCTCCAGCGTGAGTCCTTTCCACACAGGGCTACAGTCCCCTGACAACCACTCAGCTCCGGCGTGGGCTTCTCCAAAATTCCTGCGTGGGGTCCTTCACGGCTGCATCTTCTCATGGGCTGCACCAAGGGACAAACCGTGTGTCACCATGAATCTTCACCACGCTTCAGGGGAAATTACTTACAGGGGCCATTACTGTGTCCCCTTCCCCTGCTTCCAAGCAAACCCACCACACAAATCCACAACAATATGGTAAAACTCTCCCGCACAGTGACTTGTGCCTTCGCGCGTGTTCATACAGCGCCTAGCACCCAGCCCTGCTGACACGGAGCAGCGAGAGCTTGTCCGCTACCTCTTGCAGTGAGAAAGCCCCACAGCACCAAACTGCCCTACGAGCCCTGGCACGAACCCTGGGAGCATTTGTGAGGAAGAGGATATGAGATGGAGTTACAAAGAGAACGGAGAGGACGAACCAAATGCTGGGGGTCTGTGAGGCTCTCCAAAAAGCCAAAGGGATCCCATCTCTGCTGGGGGTGTTTCCACCCTGACTCCCACAGAGGTGAGAAGTTGTCTGCTTGTTGTCACCGTTCCCGAGCCAGCAGGACAGGTCTGTGGATGCTGATCTCAAAACCAGATGCTGTTACCCAGTGGGTAGGAGGAATAAAGGCACAAAGTGTGGCACAACCAGCGGCTGCAGGATTGACAACTGCTAATCAAAACGAGATGAGAGAATGCAACACCCGCAAGGCCATGGAGATAAAGGAGGCTCCTTGGACCCCTAAACCATCTGAAAACCAGCCTGGTCCTTTGGACTGCGGCCAAGAGACCAGGGAGCATGCTCAAGGTGACAAGGTGAAAAGTTCAACCCCGCCCGTTGACCAACCTACGACCACCAGAGAGCACTAGGCAAGCCCAGAAGGACCCTTTAGCTAATTATAATACGAAGTGGGGCTAGGCGGGGCTAGGAAACAAATATGAATGAATGTATTGTGAAATTTGTGGGTGTTCATGTTTTCTGGGGACGGGTGGGATGGAGAGCCATCTCTCAGGAGTGTGGTCTCCTGCTTAGTGTCTCCCAGGGTGCCCCATGCTGCACCCACTGGTACGGTTTTCATCCCACTCCCCAGGAGTCACCACTGACTCCCCAGCTTCTGCTGTGCAGAAAGTGAAATGAAATGACCCAGCGGGCTCTGGATGCAGAAAAAAATGTGGAGAAGATGAAGCAGGAGATTCTTCTTCTGCAGGAAGAGCTGGAGAGCTCCAAGGTGGAGAACAAAAGCCTGAGAGCAATTCTGACCAACCTGAGGGCAGTGAAGAACAACATAGATATTGCCTTGCAGAACCTCAATGAGATAAAAGAAGAAAAGAAGACCCAGAGAAACTACAGGCTGGTGAGCCTCACCTCTGTGCCTGGGAAGATCATGGAGCAGATCCTCCTCGAAAGTATGTTAAGGCATGCACAAGACCAAGAGGTGATCCAAGACAACATGGCTTCACCAAAGGCTGATCTTGCCTGACCAGTCTGGTGGCCTTCTATGATGGATTGACAGCATCAGTGGACAAAGGAAGGGTGACAGATGTAATTTACCTGGACTTGTGCAAAGTCTTTGACATGGTCCCTCACCACATTCTTCTCTCTAAATTGGAGAGGTGTGGATTTGAATGATGGACTGTTCAATGGATAGAGTTGGTTGGCTGGTGGCAGCCAAACTGCTGTGGTCAACGGCTCTATGTCTGGATGGAGGCCAGTCACAAGTGGTGTCCCTCAAGGGTCTGTCTTGGGACCGGTGTTCAACATCTTTATCAATGACATAGACGAGGGAATCAAGTGCATCCTCAGCAAATTTGCAGACGACACCAAGCTGAGTGGTGCAGCTGATACAATAGAGGGAAGGGATGCCATCCAGAGGGACCTGGACAGGCTGGAGAAGGGGGCTGGTTGGAGAGGATGGCCTTCCGCTCTGGCTGGAGCTGGCATAGAGGGGTTTACTTAAATTGCTCACCTTTGTTACCTCCTAAAGACCTGTGGGAGTCTGCAGTCCAAACTCACCATGTAATCTCTGAAGATACATCTTAGCTTTATCCTAGTGGGACCACCCATGGGCATGAAATGACCTCTCTTCATCACCTGGTCATTCCTCAACATTTCTGATGAATTTAGGTTACTGAACCCAGTTTCTGCTGTAGGTTTACCCAGCTGCACAACAAAACTTGCTGTACCTGGCCAAATTGATCCTCCTTAAAGACTTTAACACTGTAGGGCAGTAAGGGGCTGGGTGCTGGCAGAGTTCAGTGCCAAAGTACTTTTCCTGATGGGATTTTCTGGGCAGCTAGGAGGACAGCTTTTACCTCTGTATGGCGAGCTGTGGCCTACAAGATTGCTGTCTTCTCCTACTCCCATAATATACTTGGTCTGAACAACCATGTTTGTGTTGACACAGGGCTTAAACTGCCTCAGTAACCTTGGTCTCTGGAGGAGAGACTGATGGTTAATCTTCTTCCCAGACGTGAAAATGACAGTGCTTGCATATTAGAGGTGAAGTCTGGAGATCCTTACTTGCTACTTTCTAGTCTGCACTCCTAACTGGGGAAAGCTAATGGTAACCCTTAGTCACATGAAGCTCTGTTCTGCAACACTGATGATGAGACAAGGATGGTTCTCACCAGCTTTTCTGTCCCTGACATCACTTGCTTTTCCTCTCTCCTGTCCGTGTATGACCACTTGCAAGCAGCTCTAAGCCTTGGATTTGACCCAGAAATCCTTGGATTTGTCCCACATACGGCAACGACTGGTTGCTCATCAGTGAGGCTGGGAGGAAGCAAACTAGCTGGCTGTGTCTGCACCTGGTGCTCTGCACTGACTGCTGTAATCCAAAGGTTACAGTGCAGGATTAGCACAGGTGTACAAAGCCCTTCCTAATCTGTGAGTCATTACCCCCTCACTGCATTTCACTTCCCAGCAGCTCTGGGCAGGCGGGATAGGTCAGCTCTTGAGTCTTCAGTTTCCCCATTCTTCAGTTCAGGGAGGACTGGGTTGGGACGCAACATCTGCTGGATGTCTTCCCCAGGGCTCTGCTGCTGAGCCGCTCCTTGGATGCCATACACAGGGCACGTCGCAAGGTCTGTTTGCTCTATCTAGCTTCTCCTTGGCTACCCCTAAGCCCTTCCTTTCCATCAGTTCTCCCTTTTGGCTCTACCCATTGCCTTTCTTCTCTTCTTTGAAATGGGGGGGGGGATGTTCTGCACCCCATGGAAATAAATCCCCTGTGGGTCAGGCTGGGCTGACAGGGATCCCTGGGGACTGCCGTGCATATCTGTGCTTTGCTAGTCCTTGTGTGTGAGGTATTTAGCCTGGCTGAGCTCTCGTCCTAGTGTAAGCTATGATATTAATATAATGGCTCAGGGCAAGGGCCTGGCAAGCTGCTCAGTCGTTGTGCCCTTGATCTGGAGAGCAGTGACCACCCGGCTCTGTGCAGAGAGTGTACGCCATGCTACCCGGGCTGCCCGCCCGCTCCTCACCTGCATGAGCCAGGCTGTGGCACAGTGCCCACTGGGTACTTTCAGACCCCTCCTGAGCAAAATGCTGGGAGCCCTGTGCCCCTCACTGGGACTGGGACGGGTGCTGTCAGGGGAGGCTCTGACTGGGTTTTGCTTTGTCCTTCTCTGCAAGGCACGTGCCCAGGAGCCGTCGCAATGGCAGCGCGGGTCCCAGCTCACCAGAGGTGAAACCCGGAGCCGCTCGGTCCCATGTGAGTGCTGCTGCATGAGATCCTGCGCCCTTCCAGCTCCCA